TGAAGATGATGACAAAGAAGAGGTATTCCATGAAGAAGTCATATCGATAAATTTAGTTCAAAACCTTCATAGTTCATACTTATATACGTCATCTTAATAAAATAAGTTATATAAAGTAAAGTATTAAATTAAGTTTATAATTAGTGTCTAACAAAAATAAAAATTATAAATGTTATAAACTAATTTTATGATATGAAAAATTGATACGAATTTATAATCCGAAATTTTTCCGTTTTATTCAATAAAGCGAAAACTGCTTAAAATGGAATTTTTGGTTAGTCCCATGCTATTCCACATTACAGTTTTCACTATATATAGAGATTATTATTATTCCATTCCAAATCCTTCAGTGTTTAGTATGGCCGTCACTAGTTTCTCCCTAAGTCCTTCGTGATCGGTATATTGGGGCAACACTAACTGATTAAAACATGTATGCGCTTCGGGCAAGTAATCAGATCTGTTAGGACCTCTAGTTATTTTGAAATTCATGTCTCCCATACCACCAACAGGCACGCGGTCGCTTCCAGTTACGAATAGTAAGAATTTACGCTTTTGCTCGTCCGACAACGATCCGATAACATTCCAAAAGGCGCTATATATATAAATGAAAAGAGAAAAAGTATAATGTAATAATTTACTATAAATTTAAAACTTTGATTTTGATTTTAAATATCGATCATCCGACACATATAGKTAGTAATATGGTATTAGTATATCTAATTACTCACCAAATAATGTTGTCATCCGGTCGATATCCATCGTATTCGGTGGCTTTGCGTAGTTCATGCAAATCTAACGTGTCCGTACCGCAGACCAACAATTCGACTTCTTCTGGTCTCAGCATCTACACAATAATAATATTGTAAAATATGGAAGTTTCTCATTATCAAGACAGCTGAAAACACGTTTTACACGAWGGAAAATAGAAATATAGAATAAAAAATTATCGTAGTATGACTGGAGCACTTGCAATTAAAGCATTGGAGGCGCATACGCTGTGAAATCCGAAGTAAAATGCTCGAAACTGTTCGAAAATTGATAAATTCAGTACCCAATTCAAGTATAGGTTCACATACTCTTCACGAGTTTCATTCGTAACTGGTATATTTTCACCGTTTGGTTTTAGTTTGTGCGTTCTGGGTGCCCTGTGTTCCTCTAATGATACCTATATTTATAAACATATATGAATTATAAATAGTTATAGCAGGCATCGTATATTCGTGAGTATATAATATAATACGTAATACCAGTGGCGCCTAGTTAGCAAGGAATGCAACTGCATGTGTTCTCGAGGGGGGTAGGTGTGTACTACTGCAGGTTTCACAGGGAAATTGAAAAATGTATAACATAAACTATAGTCTATACTAATTGATTTCTTTGAATTATATTGAATAATAATTGAAAATATTTGTTATAGATAAAAAATTGGGTGGGTGGGTGGATAACTTTTTTTAATAACTGCATGTGCTCTTAAAATACCTCTGTGCGCCACTTCATCATAATACTATAGTATATTACTATATTAGTACCTATTTAGTATATATATCATGTACCTACAGTTTACGTATGTAATAAAGGTATCTACAGTTTACGTAAACATTTTAAACTTCAATTCACATTTACACATAATAATATAATATTTATATTCTTTGCTAGCCATAAGTTACAATAGTTACAACTATGTTATACTATAATATAAAAGTGGTGGTTTTACGGCGGGGAGTACAGTGGACATCCTAGGTTCCAATTAAATTATTGCGATGATTGTAATGAATATATAAATATATTAAGTAAAACGTAAAACATATAGGTACATCGGTATATAATATTATTATTTTATATATATAAAATATTTTAGTTAATTAAAATGAAATTAATAAATGGTTGATATGTAAACATTTTTTTTTTTATATAAAATATTATGATTATAAGATGATATCAAAAGACCTCCTCCCTCTAGGAAAAAATTCAAAAACCGCCACTATAATATTATATGATTCTATTACAATTTACATAATATTAGGTAGGTACTATATAGTATACRGTATATCTACAGCTTGATATATATATACATACAATATAAATACATACATACATATATAGTTTCATATTATGCGAATTATGTCAAATCAAAAATAGTGAATAGTATAGGTACCTACCTAATTATTACAACAAATTGTAACACTGTACTAAGAATAAAGAATAATTTACCATTCTTATTGGCTATTCCTWTAATATTAACACATATTCAGGGAGCATCAAAATAAAGATTAAATATGTTAAAGAATAAAGCTTATTACCTATTATGTAGTATGATGATGAAAACTAGGTACATTTAACGTTTGTATATTTAAAATACTTTTTATAATTGAAAAAATGATACAATTTTTAAAATAAATACTTATCAGTATAATGACCAATATATTGCTAAAGCTATACTATTATAAACACTTAATAAAATATATAAAAAATAGGTATATGTAGAATCATTTTCGTATGCAATAATTCATTATTTAATTTTTCATATATCAATTATTACAGTGATGTTTCTGCAGCTATACAACAGCTGAGTGACTTTAGAAACCTTCCTTATAAAAGATATCTGATATTATACCAATATAAAATGTATAACTTAATTTTCTGCTTTGAATTATTTAAAACTTAAATTAAATACATATAATTTTGTTATTTTTAAAATATAATAATATACTTCAATCATAAAATTTGAAACATTTAAGAATAAATATAATAATTAATAACTGTAAATAATAAATAGGTATATGTAGATATAGACGATATAGTGATACCTGAAATGTAAGTCCCATATCTTCTTCCACATTTCCCTCGTATTCCAGTAGATGTTTTAAGCCACTGGCTACATCCTACAATTAAACCTCATCGTTAAAGATAAATGATAAGTACCTATATTAAATAGCCTGGTACGTATACACTAAATAATTAACAGTTATTAAAAAAACGAGGGAGATCACAGGGCACTAGCTTAGTACCATAATATATAGGTRTCTAGTCWGTAGTCACTTATCACTCCATTGGTTATATTATATTATGTTAGAAATTAATAGTTAAGTTTTGATTAAKCAAAAATATTTAAATAAATATCTTATTTAACTTATTTTCATGTTTTCGTTTGTATACGAAGTTTATTTTAATATACATGCATAGCCAGAAATGTTGATTGTAGTGGAGTATTTAGAAAACATTTTGCTATTACCTATATTTGTGTTTTGAATTTTCTATGCGAAATTGAGCTTTTTAAATATTTAAACCAATCTAAATGATTTACACCATGAACTGTTTTATGGTAGATAGCTTATGTCRATACTGCAGTCTGCAGAGTTTTATTTTGGTTTAACTAATATACCTAACACAAACCGGTGCATCCAAATTGGGACCCAAATATTAGCAGGGTTAAATTGCAGGTACTTTAACTAGTTAGGTCCCAGGTCCGGGATTTTTTTCAGTACCTAACAAAGTATTTTATGTAAATATACAATCCAAATGAAAAATGTTGTCATTGACATTGGTTAGCTATATATTTTTAGTTCAGCATTACTATTYTGGTATTTTCCTATATGAAATATGTCAGTGCCCAATTATCTAAGATTCAATACATATATTAAAATGAGAACCTCAGAAATAATGTAAAAAAAGAAACTATATTATACTAGACGAAAAATTTATAAAAGACAAAATTAATGTCTTATACATTTTTACCAATTAACGTGTGATTTTTTATACAATATTTTATTTTTATTTCTATTATACAATTCCTATGTATTTTTATATTTGATTTATACATTTTAAATATTTTTTTCTTAGGCCAAAATAGATCATGGATAGTCCTAAGTCTGTTAAAATGGTAAGGAGGATGATATTAAGTATAGAACTCATCAAAATAAAAAAATAAGGACCTATCTAGAGTTGTACCAATGGAAATCCCGAACCCAATTAGTATAACAATTTAATTCGGGACCTAACTCGGATATATTCTGATATTAATTAAAAGCATTTACAAGAGTGACCCATACCGATTTACGTATAATGAGGTAGCCAAGTAGGTACTTTAAAAGTCTAAATCAACTATAGTGTGGATTTTTCAGATTTTTYAAAAATTATTTTACCCAATAGCTGAAGATGCCTAGGAATTTTTTTCTGGAAAAAATTKAAGAATTTCGGGTTTCAGATTTTTTAGATTTTTTTTATTACATTTATTAAGACCAGTCCATTAAATCTCTTCTTAGTCGTTGGTCATTATTGATTGTAGAATTTAGAATTCAGAATTTAAGAGATTTACATGAAATTTTAAATTTGTAATAAAATGTGGGCATAATGGKGAAATAACATAATATATTATAAACTAACTGGCATGATCTCGTTTAAGTCGTTTAACGTGGGATTTTCGACGATGCCTATGCTGTCGACGTTGACGGCAGGCACGACTGGTGGCGATAAAAGTTTCCTGTAACATATTCCTGGAAAACTCAGGTCTAGTATAATGGAATTATACACTGCCAAACCCATTAATACACCAATGAGATTGTATTCACGGAGGTTCGTGTGATCCGTTTGTCCGGTGCTGAACCAATAGCATCTCGAGTGAGAGTAATACACGAACATTCCGTATTCGGCGTGAAATATCTCGCGAATCAGAAGTAAAAACCATTCCTTTGTCAGACCACCCATGTCTAATCCTGGTTCACCAGCGAATGTCACTTTTAATTTTTTCTTCAAGTCTTTTTGTTTGAAAGCAATCTGTAACACGACCGTCATTTAAGTATGCCAACTWATACCTAATAAGTAAATAATAATTATTAACAGTTATTAATTTATTATACCTATATGTATAGGTACTAAGTTTTTTTTTCATATAATG